TGGAAAGCATGCCTGAGACTGTCTCCCTGAAGGTTCGGAGGCTGCAGCATTTCCTTTGTGACTCTTTTCCCCAAGGGACTGAAGATTCTGCTGGGGACCTTACTCTCCTGCATTTCCAAGCCATCCTGTGCTTGGATGGGACAAGCTCTTGCAACTTCAGAAAATGCCATCAGGCAGAAAAGTGGAGAGACCTGGTGGGTGCTTGCAGCAGACCAGAGTTCAGGAGCTGTCCACCAAGGCTGCAGCGGAACTCAAGGCAGGCACCAATAGCATTTGCTTTGAGACGTGGTGTATCTTTGTCATCATAAAGTATTTTGGGGATATAAAACCAGGAATGAGACATAGAAGTCAGGGGTGATTTCCCCAGAATAGGTGACATTTGAGTTGAATTTTGCAAGGTGACTACACAATGGGAGAAGAGGCATTTCAGATAAAGGCTGAGGTGTGAAACAGCTTGTCTTCAGGAGAAACTGCAGAGCTTGTACCTGAGTCATGGGGTTTGGCCAAGATTGAGGTAGGAGCAGATGTGAAAGCCAACTGGTGAAGGGCTTTGAATACCAGACTCAGGAGGTCAGACTTTATCCCCAGGTACTAGGGAGCCAAGGCAGGCTTCTGAACAGGAAAGGGGCACAGTCAGATCCATATTATAGAAAGATCTCTCTGGGGCTGGTGTGGAAGATGGATTGCGAAGGGGCAGACTGGAGCCAGAGCCCTGGGAGGAGGATCCCTGCAGGGGTCCTCGGCCCAGGCTAGCCTGTGAGGCTCCTCCCTCCCCATTTCCCTGAGGGGTGGGCCCTGCCTGACATATGCTTGATGAACCCAGAGAACAGCACTGGAGTGGGCATTCCCCAGATCCATGTTGACCGATCTGGACCTTATCTGGTTTGGTACAAGCTCAATGTCATCATTAGCTAGATATGGTCATTATCTGGATTTAATCATTATCAAATTACAGACCTGGCTTATATTCCACTCTCACTCCATCTCTGTGGGCCTCTCCATCTCTTTTTCTGTCTTTGTCTCTGAGTTTCTCTCTCTCTTTTTAAAAATCCATACTTCAGATACACACAAGTGAGTTAAACTGAGTCCTTGGTTCATGACATGCCTTCAGCATTGGTGCATCAAGTCCTACAATGTATATAATACAAGATAGTAGAAAACATAATCTAATATATGCACCTGGATCCACTGCTCACCCCAAGAACTAGAACAGAATAGTATCTGACATCCGCCTCTGTGCTGCACCCCGTCCCATCCCCCAGCTGTCTGCTGGAGGTCACTAAGATTCTGAATTTTGAGTTTATCCTCTGCTAGTTTCCTTGTTTTTAGTATTATTACATGTATATATACCTAATCAATATGTAGTTTGTTTTTACTTGTTTATTAATTTTATGTTAAAAGTGCCATACTGTATATACTCGTCTTTTCTTTTTAACTCAATACTGTTGATGAGAATGTCTCCAGGTTGTTGTATATAATCATGATTCATTTGTTTGAAGGCTGTATGTGACTATACCATTATTTATTTATTTATTTTCCCTTCAATTGACAATCAGGTTGTCTTCCGGTCTTCTGCTATTGCAAACAGTGCTGTGTGGCTGTTCCTGTGCATAAATCCTAAAGCTCTGCAAAATGCGGTCTGGGCATCCTCAGCCTGGGCATCCCCTGGAAACTTGTTAGAAATGCAGAGTCTGGAGCCATGCCCTAGCCCCGCCAAGACTGAATCTGCATTTTAACAAGACCCCTGGGGGATTCACTGGGTATTCACATTTGAGAAGCACTGGCCGAATGTACCTCTGCATGGGATTCTCGTGGGCATAAACATCAGGAGTGGAAGTGCTGGGTCGCAGTGGGTGGCCCAGATCATCCTCCTGGCAGCAACTTCGGAGCTGCCACTGAGCTACAGCTTCCCCAGCTCTTGGTATTGTCCCGCGTTCTCATTGTTACCAGTCGACTGGGCGTGCAGTGGCATCTCATCATGGTCTTGACTTACATTTCCCCCATGACTAACGAGGTCAGGCACCTCTTCATATGTTTACTGGCCATATGTTTCCCCTTCTGTGAAATGCCTGTTCCTGTTTTTTGCTCTTTTTTCTTTTAGGCTCCCTCAACTCAGTCCTGCCTTTGCATATGCTGTTCTTTCGATCAGAAACGCCTTCCCCCTTCGCTGCCCTGTGCCAGTTCTTCCAGGAAGCCCTCCCTGATTGCTGCTCAGGTTGTGAGCCTCCTCAGCCTCACAGGCAGGAAAACTCTGTGTCATTATCCCTTCATTTCTTCTCCTGAAGTCTCTTCCTCACTGGAGAGGCTGTGAACCTATATGGCTTGGTTTGCATAGAGTTAACAATTTTTTCACTTTAGTTGCCATTATTTTCCAGGATTTTCTGAAGTTTTACATTTCAGAAAATCTTAACTGCTAGTTACTCTTGAAAAAATAAGATATGGCTCCACTGTCTCCTTCCCTAGATGGCAAAATCAGCTGGTGCTGAGTAGGGGCTGCTCCTGCTGGACTATGTATCACAGTCCCCACAACTCCAGGCTCACAACTTGCTTAAACAACCTGTCCAAGCCCTGTGGGCATTTAGGTTTGTGACCCTTGCCTAAGCATGCCCAATGCTTATTCCTCTAAAACTTGCCCTTTCTTCCCCTCCTCCCCATAACCCCATCCTTGTTCCCACTTGGAGCTTTGCATCTCTCCCCTGTGCCATCACACTAGCCTCCTTGACCTTCCTTTCTCTAGCCTTGCCTCTTCCAGTCCACTGCCATGTCACACTCCTGCTCAAGAACCAGCAATGGCTCCCCATTGCCTTCCCAGGCACCACCTGACTTTCTACAAAACAAAAAAGTATTACAATAGGAATATTTTATGTCCAAAGAAAAGTCTAGAGAACAGCATGACAAACACCCATGTGCCCACCACCCCAGCTTAAGACATAAACCACTTCAAGTATATTTAAAGTCCTTATTACAACATTCCCTTCCCTCTCTCCCTCACGGTCACTACTCTCTTGAATTTGCTGTCTATCACTCCCATGCATGCTTTTACACTTGTATTACATATGTATGTGTCGCTAAACAATATATGGTATTGTGTTGCGTGTTTTCAAACTTTATATATCTGGCATGAAATTATATTTTCCATCTGCAACTTGCTTTTTCCATCCAACAATATATATTTTTATTTTTAAAATTGTATTGAAGTATAACATTCATACAAAGAGCAACATTCATACAAAGAGCAACATTCATACAAAGAGCACACAAATTATAAGTGTACAACCCTGGATTTTCACAAACTGAATCAACAGTGTGTTTTTGAGATTTAGCCTCAGGATGCATAAGCTTGCATTCACCTATTTTGAGGATTGTGGAGCAGAGACAGTTTTCCATTGTCTGAATGTGTTGCTATTTATCCAGTTTCCAGATGATGGACATTAAGGCTGTGTCCAGCTTTTCACTATTACAAACGATGCTGCTATGAACATCCTTGTGCAAGTCTCCCGGGCCCCCGTGTGAGGTGTTCTCCAGGGCAAAGCCTGCTCATCTTCAACCTGATCATATATATACTGCCAGGTCGCTGTCCAGCCCCTGGCTCTCGCTGGCTCCCAGCTCATTCGCCAAGATCTTCCCACTGCTCCAGGGAGCCCACTATCCTCCTTGTTGACACCCTGCCCAAACATGCCACCTCTTTGCCTGCTGCATACAAGTGTTAAACTCACCTCTCCATCCAGGCTTTACTAAAACCCTACCTCTTCCAGGAAGCCCTCTTGGGCAGCACTGGGCCTCAGGGTGTCATCTCCTCTGAGTGACTTCCTCTCACCCCAGTTGTTAGAGCCAGAGAAGATAGAGACAAACCCAGACCAGACACTGGGGGAAGGGGAATATGTTCTGGAGAAAGGAAACATGGGTAGACTAGTAGGGAGTATGAGAAGCTGGGGTACGAAACAGATTGCTTTGGGCCTTGATGGATGAGTAGGAGTTTGTCAGGTAGAGAGGTGGGAGGGCATGGCAGGCACAGGGAAAGGCAGAGGCTGGGCACTGGAACAGTCATCACTGGGTTGGGGATGTGAGCAGGGTGGATGGGTAGTGGAGGAGACTGGAATAGGGCTGTGAGGAGCCTTGCAGGCCACCCTTTCACCCATTCTGACCCTTCTGCATTCAGCTGGCATTCTCTGGAGATGGCTGTGTGTGGGAGCCAGGGAAGGCAGGCACATTCATTTGACACCTACTGAATGCCAGGCACCAGTAAAGAGCTTATACCCATTATCTCTTTGGTTTCTCACCCAAGTTGGCGATAGAGACTCATGGTGTCCCCATTTTACAGGTGGAGGAATGGGGCTCAAAGAGGGACAGTCTTTTGTCTGTAACCACAGAGCCAGGAGAGGTAGGGCCGGTACGCAGTTCAGGTCCATCCCACTTCAGAGACTGCATTTAACCCCCGTTCAGCCAGAGGCGAGAAGACACCTGGGAGAGGGTTCTGCGGAAGCAGGTCACCGGGAGGGGGCACCCATTCCCAGAGGCAGAAGCCCCGAGTTCTCGGGGGTGGGGTGGTTCCTGACTCGCGCAGTGTGACCGGGACCAGTCTCGTTCTCTCTGGGCCTCAGTTTCCCTCCTCCACGGGGCGGCGATGGTCAACACAGGTTCCTACCGGCTCGCCCCATAGCCTGGGGTTCCGGGGTCCCGTGCCACCGCGGCCCGCGCTGTGTGACCTTGTTCCAGTAGCCTGCCCTCTCTGGACTGGCGGCCCCGGATTTCCAAGCGCTCTTCCGGCTAGCGACAGAGCGGTCTCCGGCTGCAGAGACCCTCCCGCTTACCCCGGGTTGCGGGGGCGCGGGTGGGGGTGGGGCGCCAGGAACTGCGCGGGCCCCCCCAAGGCCCCCCCAGCCCCGCGCCCGCGGCCAGATCCGCGCCTGGTTTTGGGTGCAGCCGCACGGCCCCCTCCCCCGCGCGCCTCTCCCCGCTCCCCGCCCCCTCCCCGCCGCTCTCGGGGAGCCGGGGCCGCGCGGCTCCTCCTCCCGCAGCCGCATCTGGGGCGCCGCGCCGGCCGGAGGAGAGGCATGGGGCGCCCGCGGGCCGGGGCCGGGGCGGGGGCTGGGGCCTAGGCGCGCGGACCTGCGAGCAGACCCGAGAGGCGGCGGCGGCGGCGGCGGCGGCGCAGCGGAGCGGCCAAACGGGCCGGAGGCGGCCGAAGCGCCCGGCGCAGGTGAGGGCGCGGGGGTGGCGCGCGGCGGCTCCTACCCCCTTCCCGGGCCGGCGCGCTCAGTCCCTCGTCTAGACCCCCCAATCCGGTCTCCTCCCCGACAGACCTTCCTGAACCGGGGGGGCGGTGCTGGCGCAGAAAAGCCCCCTCCCCTGCCAGTTCTGTCTTCCGAGCCCGGGTCCGAGGGGCCGGCTGTGCGGCTGGGAAGCGCCTTCTCTGGTTGGGATCGCCCCATCTACATCTCCCCGGACCCTCAAATCGGGGGCGGCGGCACTGGGGCCCGGAACCCCTGTCCGGGGCCGGACCCGCATTCTGGCTCTTTTTCCCGCGGACTCCCCCGTACCCTGTATCAAGCGGCTGCCAAAGCCTGGAAGCCCCCTCCTCAGGCCCGCCCCCTAATCCGCAGGGCGGCCTGGGGGTCAGACGGACCCCTCCCGTGCCCGGCCAACCTTGGCGCCTGGGAGAGCAGGGCTATGCTGGCCGGGGCATTCCTCCATTCATCCCAGCTGCCTCGGATCCCGCCTCGGTAGCCCCAGGAGCCGCCGGCTCCCCCCTTCCCGAGCTCTTTCCCGGACCTGGCATCTGGGGAGGGGGCGGGGGCAGCACCCCCCTCCCGCGCTGCATAGCGCCCCCTCCCTGTTTGCGTCCCTGCGAGGGGCTGGGCTGACCTGGGCACCTGGGCTGGGGGGGCACTCACATGGCTACTGGAGGCCCCCACGTGCGGCGCCCCGCGGAGACAGGGGTTCACGTTCAGACCCAGTGGCGGATAGACCAGGTGGCCTCGGGGACCAGCTGGGTCCAGATGTGCCGGGCCTGCTGGGAGGGGACATGTGCTACCTGGACGTGTGATGGCCCTTGGTCTCTTTTGGCCGAACCTGCCGCTCCAATCCCCCTCCATCCCTCCATCCCTCCGTCCCTCTATCCCTCTGTCCCTTCTCCCCTTCTTCCTCCGCTGCCTGTGTTAAAGAGACGGGCTGTCAGAGACTGTTGATGTGGGAAAAAATGAAATGGGGGAGGGGTTGTGATTGGCAAAGGCCAGTTCTGCGAGGGGGAGGGGGTGCGGTGGGTAGTGGAGGTGCCCTGAGAATGGGAAGCCCTAAGCTTGGAGGGCAGCGCTGATGGGGAGAAGGTTCCCGGCACCTCCACCCGCCTGGAAGTGGAAATGACATAGCGGGAGGGGGCTGCAGTTCCAGCCCCTGGGGAGACTGGCCTGCCCTGCCTCTACCTCCATTGCACCTCTTCTCCAAGACTAGTCCCCAGTGGCAAGGAGGGAGTCCTGGCTCTCTCTGCCTCTGAGCTCTCACTTGTGGGAGGGGGCTGTTTTCTGCCAGCTGGAGGTGGTGGGAATCAGTTGTACAGGACCATCTCCGAGAACGCCTGTTGGAGGAGCCCTGTTTCTGTCCCTCCTTGGTGGCCAGCTCTCCCTTGCCTTCTCTGCCAGAGGGCACTGGGCTGCCTGGTCCCAGGGTGGGGCCGCAGAGCTGGTGCTCTGGCCTGGCTGATGGGTGGCTGGAGTGTTGGAGCCACCACCAGGCCCCAGAGCCGGCTGTTGGGGCCAGTCAGCGGCAGACTCCAAGTGTGTTACCAGCAGCTCGGGAGATGCTGGCTATGCACGTGGGGCTGGCGAGAGTGCCTGTCTCCCGCTGTGGCAGGGGTGGGCCAGGGATCCTGGGTCCTCCAGGAGCTGGGACAGCACAACTCAACTTCTGGGAGTGTGCCTGTGTGTGGTGTCCATGGCGACCCTGTACTTACCTGCCAGAGGCCTGGTGAGGCCTGTGCTGGGGCGCTGGGGAGTGCAATGGCTGACAGGGTCCCCACCTCCAGGAGCCTCTGTTTTGTGGGGGGAGGCAGCCTGTGTCAGGTATTGGAGAGAGTGTCCATGCTGAAGAGAAACTGTGAGCTGGACAGGACCTGATGGCTGGGTTATGTGGAACCCCAGGAAGCATCCGGCTGGTGCCAGCCTTGAGATGGAGCCGCAGGTCTGAGGGCTGTGCCCCGGGCATGAAGCTGCCTGGCAGCTGAGTTGGTGTTTTTGAAGGAAGGCTGTGCAGCACTTGGGAACTAGGAGAGAATGTGTGCTTTGGAGCTTTCAGGAGACGCTGACGTATCGGATGTATCAGGGGCACCCACTGACATCTCATTAGGTTCTTGTGTGGTTTGTGAGCCACGGGCTTCGTAAATGCCAGCAGTTTCACATGATGGGGAGGCTCTGAGGAACCGTATCCTGGGCACTGTATGTGACAGAAGCGGGTGGTCCCTACCCTCCTATACTTCTGTGATGGGTATTCATTCATTCAGAAAAGCATTAGAAAATCGCATTATCTGACATCAGTGCATTTGAACACTTTCATTTAAATGTTCTGAAATGTGAATTAATAAAATCTCGAATGCAGGGTTTTTTTTTTAATAGAAAGCACACAGTAGGTACTCAATAAATGCCATGGCTTGCAGGATGAAACCCAACCTCCCCCTCCCCCCAACTAGCTACTTTCTAGCCACATCTTGCTCCCCACCCCCTCCCTCTTTGGCTCGGGTCCCCCTGGCCTGCCTTCAGTTCCTGGAACAGGCCACATTCCCTCCAGCTTCAGGGTCTTCACACACGCTGGCTCCTCTGCCTGAACATCTCCAGCCCCCTTCCCCCATGTGCCTGTTCAACTACTGCTCATCACCCAAGCTTAAGCATCGCTTCCAGAAGAAAGCCTTCCTCGATGCCCAGGCCCGGCTGTGTCACTGTCACCACGTGCCCAGCCCCGTGGGCCTGTGCTTCATTACCCCATCCCCATCCTTCTTGGATGTCTCTGGGTGTGGTTGGTGCAGAGATGGGCAGGGTCCCGCCAGCCTCTTCACGCCATTCCCCTGATGCTGAGAAGACGTCTTGGCTCAACGTGGGCACTCATCCATTTCTTTTGACTTTTGACGACCTGGTCCATTCTGAGTAGAGGGCTGGGCTCTGGGGAATGGGGGGAGACTTGGCCAGGCCGTTGCCAACATGACTGTCCATGTGCGTTCCCGGCCTCCAGCTGGGTCTGCATACACAGAGGCATTTAGCCACAATCTGTGGGAGTTACAGGCCTGTAGCCTCTAAAATCCCAGCAGGTCTGTGGGACCCCCAAGGGCTCTACAAGAGGGCGAGGGGCCATGCTGGGGCAGACCCAGCATCTCTATGGGTGTGCCCCCGGCCAGGGATTTCCCCCTGTGGCTATTCATTTGCTCACATCATCACCTGTCTACCTGTTCAGCCTTCCCTCACTCGCCAGGTCACTGGCCTGTTCACTCATTTCCTAGTCCTCTGTTCGTTCTTTGGGCTACTAGTGCTTCCTGAGGCCCACTCAGTGCCCAGCCCTGTGCCAGGCTTGGGGACACAGAGTCAGACCTGCGAGGATCCCACTCTGTAAACTGTAGCCATCCTGCCAGGTGCTTCCTAGTGATGGAGACTGGTGCTGTCCAAGGGCCAGAAGTGCCTCTTAAAGGATATGCACTTGAGCTGGGTTTTGGAGGCTTTGGGGATTTGGGTAGATGGAGAATAGTGGGGAAGGACACTGCTGGCTGTGAGAACTGCATGGATAAGGCACAGTGGCCCATGCTTATAATCCCAGTACTTTGGGAGGCCAAGGTGGGAGGATTCCTTGAGCCCAGGAGTTTGAGACCAGTCTAGGCAACATAGTGAGACCCTGTCTCTAAAAGAAAAAAAAAAAAAAGGAAAAAGAAAAAGACAAGAAAAGAACTGAACCAATAAAGACAGGAAGGCAGCCACATGCTGGGTGAGCTTGGGGATGCTGTGGGTTATGTGTCCTTTTAAGCGGAGGTGGCCACTCCTGAGTGGGCCACAGGGAGGCTGGTGGTGGAGGGAATAGGGTGCAGCATGGTGGGCATCCACTCTTCTAGGAGCCCTGTTGCGAATTTGCTGTGTTCCTTTGGATGAGGCGTGTCCCCTCTCTGGGCGCCCTTGATAGAGTGAAGACTTGGACCTGGTGATCTCTGAGGGGCCTTCTGCCTTCCACTGTCCGAAGTCTGTGATCCTGAGAGCCCTGCATCTTAGGACATCTGGTGGGCTCTCCTCCTGTTTTCTGGACAAGGAAACTGAGCATTAGTTTAGTTTATTAGTAAGGTCTCCAAGGCTGCACAGCTAGTGAGGTGGAGGTGCCAGGGTTTGAATCCAGAGCAAGCCACCGGGTTTGCTGTAGTGGCTTTGAAGGGCAGCTTTCGTGTGTAAGCTCCCAGGGCTGGCGTCAGCATGGGGCTGACGAGGCTTGGCAGTTTCTTCTAACAGATGACTCTGTTGGTTAAGGGAGTGAGGGGGTTGGAGAGCAAACTCACTGGGCATCTTTGGGAAAAGCTGTCACTGAGGAGTCCTGTGTGTTGTACCAAAGACAGGCCCACTTCCTACTTCATCAGAATATGGGGGGACGCTTTGAGACTCACATGACTAGACATTCTTTCGTTGTGACCTATTGGGGAGAGGGTTGCCTGTTCTGTTCCTATATCCCCTCCACAGCATCTCCTGGCAGCTCCTCCAGGGCCAGGACTGAAGCCTTTAGGGGTGTGCAGTACTCTACAGTTCTTAGAACCCATTTGATCACCCATCCTAGCCGCAGCCAGGGTTAGGAATGAAAAGGGATATTGTCTCCATTTGACAGATGAGGAAACTGAGGCTCAGAGTGGTTGGGTGGCTGCCCAAAGTCACTTGGAGGGTGGGGGGTGGACCTTCAGCCGAGGCGCCCCTCTCACTGGGTCCTTGCGGGGAGGGCAGTGTGTAGGGGCCTTTCGCTTGCAGATCGCACATTATTTCCTGAGCCAAGGAGCGGGGCCCAGGATCCTTCTGTGCTAGGTTTCGCAACGCCGCCTCCTCGCCACCGAGCTGTCTGACGTGGCCTTTTCAAAAACCCAAAATGAATGGAAGCACATTTTGTTTGGAGAATTTTGCTACACCCCTCACCAGGGCTGGTTGCAAAACCAGGCTTGGGGATCCCTGCTGATGTTGACGGTGATAATAATAATAATAA